AGATATATATATATATATATAACAGTTATACAGACTGTAACTATATAACATTTACTTATAACAAAGTATCAGTGAGATCTATATCAGCATGAGAATTTTTATGTAAAGATAATATCATTATGTTTGCAGTCAACTTCTATTTGTGACCAAGGAGGTTTAGAGACCTTGGTCCTTGATGCGATTCATGATCCTATTTACATGAGACATATGTATTTACCTTTGTACTTCACAATTTTTTTTGTATCAATAAAATATTTCTCATGAAAAGTTGCTGTCTTGTCTTAAAACAGATGATAGTATTAGTGATGGCAACATCCCATTTTATTCAGGGACAGAAAGATTAATTGAAGTAAAGAATTTGCATTCTGAGAAACAAGCCAATTACATCTTTATAGTGAAAATTTCGTCTCTTTTGACTGAATGCCCAAACTGCTCCCTGCATTGAAACCATGAACACCCCCGCCAACTGTATGGAACATTCCTGAAATGTAGCATTTACCATTCACTTTTGAGGGGTTAATAGTTGTAATATATACAGGTGGTTAGTTAGCGATATATTTTAACACAAATAACATTACAGGTAACTTTACATAATTTTAAAAACAGTTTACTATATATTTGAAAGATGTGGATATTTTGAATATTCACAAAATTGAACGGTTTAAGTTTTACCTGTAGAAGTATATTGGTATCGCCCTATGACCGAAGATTGACCTTTTAGGCGCGCCACGCTATGTTGTGATGTGGCAGTGAAGACACAAATTTCTCCCGTTTTTTCCTCCATTTTACCGCCGTTTCAGACATGAGTGTGGGGTTTATAGGAGCAGGCCGGCTGGCCATGGCCATGGCGAAGGGATTTATACGTGCAGGTGAGAAATAAAGCCGTTATTTTCCTTAGTACCGATCCCTGAACCTTTTCTGTGGGGAGGGGGGCTACCAGATGGTAGCAAAAATAGCTACTAGTACCTTACTCTTTGATAATTCGATCACGCGTTAGACAAGTAACAGTTAGACTATCAATATGACCGTTATTTTACTGTTAAGTTTCATAAGAAGGATTTCATGTACATCTGTCGGTGTTATGTGTTTGTATTTGTGAAAGAAGATAACAATTATATGTGAAACTTTGTTGTTATGATAGTAGATCCGGTAACTTTGAAAGTGCTCAAATTATTGAAAAACAAAATGTGAAAATTTGTTCAAGTTTGTTGTTATGATAGTAGATCTGGTAACTTGGAAAGTGCTCAATAAATTGAAAAACAAATATGTGAAATTTTTTTGTTGTTATGATAGCTATTAGTAGATCCAAGGAGGTTAAATACAAGGAGGTTAAAAACCTCCTTGGTAGATCCGGTAACTTGGAAAGTGCTCAATAAATTGAAACCTTAATTGTTTTATGAAGGGGCTGTGCCTGCTGAGAACATCTTTGCTTCTGCCCCAGACAACCTGGTCGGAAGGGCAGAGTTGAGAAACATCAAGGTAAAGATGATTATTAGAATCGAGAATTAGTTGAAAATATTATACTTTGTCTAGCCTGCTATGGTGTAGGTTACAGTTAACACTGAAATGTACCTGCACCAAAGTTTAACTTCCCAACTAAAAATTTATGAAGTATGGATCATACTAAAAACTGTTCAGAAGCTATTACCATTATTTCTTTTATGCTTCATAGGTGGTAACAGTCAATACAGCCAATTATTAAAATCCACATACAAACAACTTCTAAATTTCTTCATACCCTGGTAGATCTACAAATACTGTTCATAATTAATAATGGTTAATGCCATCCTTGAACAGTTTTATCAGGTTGGTAAGTCATTGAATAAAGAGACTCTTTTTACACAACCAAAATGTTTATTCAGTCGACATTTCAGGGACCGTCTGTCACCTTCCTCAGGGCGATTCTGACTGGTTCACATTGCACAGCTTAAGTGTCGCTTCTATAGATGCGTTCTCAAACACAAAGTACATGTATTTTCATATCTACATGGTTACAGTTATCATTTGGTTACTGCCATATTTTTCTCATAGTTTATATATGGCTTTATTTTATCATGTAATTTTTGTCCAATACAGGAGCTTGGCATCCATGTCACCCATAGCAACACAGCGCTAGTGTCGCAGTCCGACGTTGTATTCCTGGCGATAAAAGCGAACGTTGTGAAGAACGTGCTGGAGGAGATCTCGCCCTTCGTCACCCAGCGACACCTTTTCGTCACCCCCATGGCCGGAATCACCATCAAGTCCGTTGAAGAGGTAACATAATTTTTTTGTGGTGAAATATCTTGCATTCGCTTGAAAATGTTGTCGACAAGAATTTCCTGAGTGAATTCTTACTTTAATCTAATGTTCAATTAGAGCAGCTGACTACACCTCCCAGAAACTGGCATGCAAACTGTCCTCCTTGCCCCCAGAAAATTTTTCTGAAGAGATGTCATTAAACTAAGCTTAGTCTACAACGAAAATTTGCTCCTCAAAATGCAGGAAATCGTATTTCAAAATCTTCCAGGAGGACATGCCCCCAGATTCCCCTAGGATTGTCATGACATGATGTCACATCAAACAAAATTGAGGTAATAGAAAAAACTTTCAGACTGGCTAGCAGGCCGTAGCAGGCTTAGAACTGGGGGTTTGGTGGTCTTCGACTGTTTTCTGATTAGCCCAGTCCAAAAAACGGGGGTAATTCAACCAGGCTGGCTATGTTGTCTATATGCAATCAGAAAATAGCACATAAAAGCTCCCAAAGACCCTGAAGACCACAAAAAAAACAGTTTTTGGCATGCTATGGAGGCTACTAGAACACTGCTAGTCCTTCTCAATACAAAATGTAGTATAGCAACATGCGCATATGTGACTGACAACACCCCCCCCACCCCCCTCAGGCCTTACCTGCTGAAACAAGGGTGATCCGGATGATGCCTAACACCCCCCTGGTGGTCGGGGAGGGGGCGACGGTCTACGCTCGCGGCGAGCACGCCACCAAACACGACGGAGAGATGGTGGAGGTCCTACTGTCCAACGTCGGCTGGTGTTTCGAGGGGAAAGAAGAGTACATGGACGCCGTGACTGGTTTAAGTGGAAGTGGCCCTGCCTATGTAAGAACATCACTTATCTTATAAGCCATTAACTTTTTTCATGCATTAGTTTGCAGGGCTGGAAGTCCCACCTGCATATGCAGGTTAAAATTGGAACCATGATTGCATGAAGGTATTTCTGATGTCTACCTGCACCTAACCTGCACTGGTCCATGTACTGGGTATATGCAGGTTAGTGCAGGTAAAATTGGAGCTGTGCAGGTATTTCTGATGTCTACCTGCACTGGTCCATGTTATAAGTATGCAAGTGTTTGTGGTTTTTTGTTTGCTATACTGATGATTTGAGTTGCTACCACTTTCTTAACTGTTTGCAGTGTGATGCATACTTCATCAAATATATCTTTCATGCAGGGCGATACTACTATTAGTGTGGTGCAGGTAATTTTCAATGTTTAACTATGGGTGCAAATTTTTAACTGTGGGTGCACCTATATACTTTTTTAGGTTTACGTATGTAAAGTTACAATACTATTTTACACCAGTTTGCATTGCAGCATACTCTTGACATTTAAGTGTCAGAAAAATAAGGAAAACTTTGTTGTATTTACGTATTAAAATTTTGAAGTTAGCTATAAAATTTCTCACTCGAGCTCTGAAGAGAGGCAGTAAGGTTTGTCATTATGCTTTGCTGGTATTCTACTATATGGAGTGCATGCATATACATACACCCATATACATGTGCAGTACATGTATTAATCTTCCTGTACCTGTTTAGATTTTGTCTCCTGTAGCTGTTTTTCCAGTTCATGTTTAGATTTTGTCTCCTATAGCAGTTTTTCCAGCTCATGTTTAGATGTTGTCTACTATAATAGTTATTTCACAACATGTTCAGATTTGGTCTCCTATAGCAGTTTCTAATGTCTCCTACAGGTGTTCCTGTCCATTGATGCCCTGGCCACAGGTGGGGTGAAGATGGGACTGTCTAGACAGGAGTCTCTCAGGGTCGCAGCAGAAACCATTCAGGTGGGGGATAAAATCACAAATACTGTAAATTTATTTACTTTTGCCATGGTTTTATGTTGCAATAGGGGAAAGGAGATTTTGAGGTGTCTTGAATTCACAGTTGCAACAATTATGTTGTACATTATTACCGTGTTATACACAATACAGGCTTAACTCCCCTTACTGAAAGTAGCCAGAAGTAGTGTGCTCATTTCTCGACAAGACTTGTACTCCTACAGTGTACAACAGCTGTTGAGTATGGATGATACCACACATGCTGTTCAGTTGTGTCAAATTATTTTATTTCAATACATGAAATACAAATACATCTACAAAATTTAGGAAAAAAACATCATCTAGATCCCAATCATATACCGAAAAATCCCTCACACTCAGTCGGTGATTTAATTTATTGCTACAAACACACAAAAGAAGATTAAAACAATAACTTCCCATCATAATGAAATTCAAAATGTTTGTTTTGTCCAGGCTGCTGCCAAGCGAGTTCTGGAGACCGGTGCCCATCCCAGCATGCTGAAGGATGAGGTCTGTTCCAACAACATCCTCGGCCAATCAGCACTCTCCGCCATTCACAAGATGGAGGCTGGAGGTAAGCAATCTTTTCTGTGATTGGCTAGTTAATGACTGCTGGTATGACCAATCAGAGTGGCTAATCAAATACAGGCTGGTGATTGGTCAGTTACACTTCCAGACTCAAATTTCTCATTAATCCTATAACATTTCCTTAGTAGAAAGGAGAGTCAGGGCTCAAAATACCACCTGCATATGCAGGTTTAGTGCAGATTATATACAAAAAAACAATAAAGGGATAATGGCAATGGTTTCTGAACAGTTTTCAATATGATCCATACTTCTAAATGCTAAAATCTAAATGGTGCAGCAGGCCTCGAAATTAACTTGTTTTACTATTGTCCCAGAATTGTCCCAAAAATAGATTTCCATTGTCCCGAACTGAGGATGGACTGTCACAGCCTGCTTGTCAGGAAATAAATTTATGACAACAAGAAGAAAATGACAACAACTGAACTTATACAACTTGAAGTCCACTTTATTAGTAAATTTCCATCTTTTTTTCCCAGACTGTAGGGAAATACATGATAGTATCATGGGCTCGGCACCATCTTCGAGGCCCTCCTCTCTGACATTTGGAATCCCTGATTGGTCAAATTTAAATGTTTGTCAGAGTATTATGGGCTGCCAGTGGCCCGCAGCAGGATTGGTGGATCGCGTTCCTAAATGACATGGATGGTCTCAGAATTTTCCAATTGCCCCGAAATTGTCCCAAAACGTAATTTGAATTGTCCCGAACTGAAAATTTAGTGTCATTTGACACTGGGACAATGTTAATTTCGAGCCCTGGGTGCAGGTAAAACTTGTCTGGTGCAAGTAATTTTCAATGGTGCATGTACCTGCACCAGTGCAGGTATGCAGAAAAAAGTACTGTATTTCGAGCCCTGGGAGTATAGGAATATAATCAAAATCGACTAAATAATTTACTAATACTATCAACAACCAAGTGATTAATAGTTATTTATTCATTACATTCAAGTATTTGTTAATCACAAGGGATGCATATAATTATTAGTAACTAGTGCCATCATAATTATCATGAAAACTAAAACAAAGTAGATGTAGTCAACTAAAACATGTAACTCAATCCAAGTTTTGAGTTGTTGACAATGACTGACAGGGCTCTTGCCTCTCAGGTCTCAACACAAAGCTGTTGAAACGTAGTAAGGAACGCGGAGGTAACAGTTTTCTCCTCCCGCTAACGTTACATGTAAATCTACAGAGATGGTACAGGCCACACAAAAACTCACAATTTGTCTTAACCTTCAGCCTGCTAAGGTCACTGTTTGAGACCAAATTTGTATTGGTTATGGGGTTAGGCAGCAGGGAGAAGGTTAAAAATTTATCTTATCAAGAAAGAGTGATGCTTTAGTGAGCCGTTTACAAATTTCAGAAGAAAGAACTCACATAAAGAAACAATTTGAAATTTGCAATTGAAGTTTTGATGTTTGACCTCAATTCTTACAGATTAAGCAAATAAGATCAACTTTACCAGTATGTAAAAAATATGAGGTGTGTTTTTTCTATCAACAAGACTACCATTGAATTTTCTGCCTTTTTTGGCTTAGTCTTGAATCCAATGCTTTCAGTCACAGTCTAAGTATGAAATAATTAACTCTTCCTAACTAAATAGAATAGCTTGTGTCAATAGAACAGAATTCCAAAGACAGTAATAAATTTTCCCAGACATTTTAACATTTTAAGCTACACCAGTTGTCAAATCTCTGTAATAGCTCTATCAAATTTTTGTCACAAATTTCCTTCTTAAAATATATCTACATCCTGCAGCATTCAGCTCGTAGCCATGTACAAATGTACCATATAAACTAGTGTAAGCATGAAGTTTGACAAAGTCCATGATATACTGACACTGCAAATGTGGTACATTTTAAAATATGTTCTGCTGAAGGGCAGATACATGTATGTGTATACTTGTTGGCTAATACAAATACAGAGGATGATAATTTATCAGGGTTTTTGTGTGGCTGCCATCTGGCTTCTAGCTGCTTGCTTGCAGGCATGTAGACAACTTCATTGCAAGAATGATTCGGGGCACGTGATTGGTCAAGATTTCAAACGACAAGAGACTTCTAACTGTCATTTCACACATGTTGGCATATGGCTGTAAAATAAAATTCATGTTTGAATATATGAACGTATTTGATGCTGATTTTGTATGTTAGTAGGTGACTAGACAGTACGAAAAATTGCAAAGCACTTAAAAAGTTTATAAAAACCCTAACGCCTTCCATTTGTATGGTTTAAAAAATTCAACTGGAAATGGACTATTGCTGTCAAAATCCACAGCAAGTTATAGTCTGATTCCCTCCAGTGTAGAGGAACCCAAAGCCCCAAACTGCTCCAGCGCCCCCTAACTGTAGAAGGTAGTATTGCAGCAGGATATAACAGAGGCACCAGCTTCATAACTCAAAGACATGTGCAGCATAGAGCAGTCTATGTTTGTTCGTCCTGTCTGTCTGTCTGAGTACCATGTTTAATGTATTCAGTGTTTCCCATACTGAAAGAACATTGAGTTATTTACTGTTTTATCCTCAAATAGAATAATAATAAGTATAATGATATACTAATTCAAGTTAAGTATGAACAGTTTTAGTTTTGATATAGTATGACTGTACACTTTTATTACAGGTGTTCAGAAATAGCAGTGAATACAGTATGGGAAATACAGATTCTAACTTGTGCTGTCCACTGTCCATTTAATCAGTGTTTTTAACCAATAAATGGCATTTAAATACATAAATTGTATTTGTAAAATGAGGGAAAAAATAAGTACATGTACATGTATGTGTAGTGCTGAATTTGCAAAGATACATACACTGTATGTACAATATTTGCAAAAATGGTGGTTAAAAAGATTTCAATTTTTTTTTGCTGCCTTAAAATGCCTTTAAGACATTATTTTTACATATCAAAAGTCCATTCTGATGAGTATCTTCCCCCCCCTCCCAACTCTGCCAGGTTTCCGTGCCCTTCTCATGGATGCAGTAGAGGCCGGAGAGGACCGTACCAAGGAGCTGAGGAGAATGGGGGAGGTCAAGAACCACGTGGAGGACTGAAAAACACAGGGCTATACCAAAAATATTTTATGGGGGTGGTCCAGCAGGAATTGACATCTTTTTCTCACAGAATATCCTTCAAATGAGTCTTTTCCCCTAGCAAAATACTGTATTTGGTATGACCCCAGTATTGCATAATGGGAAGATATAAGAAACTATCAGAGGATGGTTTTTGAAGATGGCAACAAATTTCCAGCTTTTATGCTTGGTAAACTACTGGTCTAACGATCCAACTATTGAACACCTTTATCTAGTGCATTTATTGAAACACCTTTCCAAAGTTTGGGTATTTTTAGTTTATAAGACACCTTTAGAGGAGCTGGATATTTTACAATATTTCTATATTCTATTGAATTGATTTGATATTTTAGATTTAGTCCTGGTCAACAGATTGTGGTAAAAATGGAAAAAGAATTGTACAGTTCATAGTAGGAGATGTGGCACATTGGCAACATCTGTCCACATCAGTGTTTAGACACAGTATCAACGATTAGTCAAAAGGCCTTTACTCCACTATACAGTGAGGAAAGTCATGTAATGTGCCTTTCACCAGGACACAACATTGGGCATGTCTGGGGATCGAACCCGGGACTTCTTGGTTCCAACCCAAATGTCTAGATGATTATGCTACATGATTCGAAATTAGAAAAAGGATCATCTTGTATCTCATTGGAAGGAAAAGTACTACTCCCTACCTTGAACTGTTACTAATAAGTTTATACAAAGTTTTAGTTTTATTTAAGAAGTTTATTAAAAGTTTTAGTTTTCTTTAGGAAAAGGTCTTCCAATTATTTAAGGGTCAAAAGAACTTTCATTTTATCTAATTTTGCTGTCATATTTGATGTCATCTTGCTGCTGATGTAGCCCTTTGGCAACATATGACATTTGTTAAAGTGTTAGGCAGCAGGAAGATAAGGAATAGAAGGTTAAAAAGGTACATGTAGTCAATAGCATTTCTGTTCATTTGTGATAGCAGCCTCAAACTCTATCTGAATTTTTGCTTGCTTGTGTTGTCAGTAACACGTCTACTTCTCCTATAATTTTAAGTTAACTGTCTTTTGAATGTTACTATTTTATTTGACGCCTTACGAGTGTGTTTGAAAGTTCGAAACACAGCTGTCAGCCATGTTTGTTTACATTCTGGTAGTTTGTGGTGGTACCACAAAATGAATATGCCTTGTTTTAATTTCAGAAATGTGAGATTTCAGAAAGCACGAATATGTTGAAAGTGGAAGTGAATTACAATCACACAATTTTTTTCAAGTAACATATTTCAATTTTTGGTGCAAAAATGTTACATGATGTTCCTTTAGGCCATTGTATTTACATCTGGTAAAAGTACTACTGTACATATATAGTAGCAGTACTATACTGTAACTTTCTACTTGTAACTTACGATCATTGTGTTTGTACTTTGTACATAAAATCTGAAGAAGCATTGCAATGTTAAATAACGCACACATTAGCACTGGAACCTCGCAATACATTCGTACTGATAGTAACTGTAAATAAAATACTTAAAATCATGACATCCAACCAAGTGTAGCTACTGTAAGAAATGTGAAACTGTACATTCAATAAACTTTCATTTGATTTTAAATATTGTGTGGACTGTGGATGTTATGTGTTATATATAACTCCAAACGATATGCAATAATGCAGGGAAAGAGTTGGGCCCACAAAAAGTTGCCTTCATTATGAAATTTAAAATTGTCAGTAGTTAAACGGGTGGACTTATATCAACGTTTTGATTATGATTTTTTAAAGGCATCCAATATTAATGACAGTTATCTTTGTTCAAGACTTCACATTGAAATATGAAGAGAACTTTAAGAAAGCGCACAATTACATGTTTATACAGCTTCGTCAACTGAAATATGACTTAGACATTAGTAGTGTAGCTAGGATGCTCGCCTGGATCAACTTATTGTACATATTAGATGGTCTCACGGCCAAGCCTGTACAAGGCTATCAACCCCCTTTGAGTGTCCCATGGCCAGGCCTGTTCCAGGCTATCAATTCATTTTGAATGGCTAAAAGACCATGGCCACACCTGTACAAGGCTGTTATGGTTTGTAGCATGACGCAATCACGCAACCACGTGTTAATGACTCGTTCCCAGGTTTCGACATCACGGGCTATAATAGGGATTTACTGAATCCCGGTATAGTGGAATATTTCGCTGACAATCACCCCTTGCACACCCCTCTTCTTGCTCGTAAGTTTATTTTGTTCCGATTCTTATATATTTAATTTTCTTTTGGACAATATACGAGATCTTGATCGTCCTACGACAGAAGTACGAAGAAGTGCAGTACGCAATCATCCCCTATGTGAGACTCCTTTGAAACTCCTTTGTTTTTATGCTAAAAGTAAAGGCCTAGAGTAACATGTAAACAAACATGGCGGCCCGGTTGTAAATAATGTCAGTACGGTACGGCAGAATATCGGTTGTGTTCTGGAGTATTTAGCGGCATTTGAAGACCACCAACCTTCCGTGCACCGAGTTAAGAGAGCAGACAAGCATAAGGGATAACCATAAACCGGGATGAAAACGTTTTCAATCAAGAGAGTTCTGCACACGACTCGCAAACAGTAGACTGTTGTTGCACTTCACCAATCGCCAGAGATCGCTGCTACACGGTCCAAGTGCCGGATAGTGTCAATACGTTTCACCGACGTCAGGGCGCTTTGCAGTGAATGGGACGCATATTTCCAACTCTAACCCTAATTATAACTTCAATTCTAACCATAGCGATAACCAAAACAACGTCTAAAAACATGGGACGGCGAAACATAACAGGAAATGTTATTGTGAGTGACTTAATTCAGTACTTTGTACAAATGTTCATCACAAAGGCTTCTTGATGGCTACAAAATTCCTACGGTCCCACCAGGCAGTTGTATAGTATATGATAGTTGTGGAAAGGGTCTAAAATACAACAAACAAACAAACAAACAATGAACTATTAAACCAGCATCGAAAATCTGGCGTCAGTTACGGTGTTGCTGGAAGCGACCCCTATTATCCGTGTTAAAAAGTGCACCCTCCAGTTGGCACCGCAAGGATCAAAAGCGCCATACAAGCACCTATCAATTTTTATCGGTATTACAGGACAATAAAATATGCACTCTAGAACAGGTGGACGTGCGTGCGTTTGCGTTGTAGTTTTGAACAACTTTTATGATATTCGTGTATTTCGTGAGCCATTTAATAGTTGCCATAAGTATATATTGGTCAGTGGCGAGAAGCGCTGGCCACACTTGGACGTTTAAGTTCCAAATTTCGCGCCGTAAAAGCTTATTTGGGGGAGGGGGGGGCTCATCAGTTACGTCATAGTTACGTCGGCCACAGGTAAATGTGACCCTGCAGTTTGGAGACAAATCGCAAGACGCCACTGCTACACCGTCCATCGGCCAGGTTTCGTCCTGACGTTTCGCCGACGTCAGGACGTTTTGCAGTCAAGGAAACGACTATTTCATACTCTAACACTAATTAATTCTAACAATAGCGATAATCATAACAACAAAATTTCAGCTAAAACATGGGACGGCAAACCATAGCAGGAAACCGCAATTTCGGCGGCGTTCAGGGCATACTAGTAGTACACTTGAACTTTGACCTCTCCAAACCGATCTGGGAGGCTCGTAATCATCATCATCATTATATCCTGATTACCCAGATATAAACCATAACATATCGTATAACCGCTTGTCGATCTAATACGCCATAGCATTACATGTACATGATGTGCTAACTCCCTTCTTTATTCCTTGTCTTGGTGTAGTATGGTCGGCCTGTATGGCTGAGTCAGCTGATACAGGTTATCACTTCATTTTAGATAATCTCATGGCCAAGCCTGTACAAGGCTATCAGCCCCCTTCTGAATCGCCGCAAAGTCAGGCTGTTCCAGGATACGAGATCCTTCTGAAAAGCCGCACGGCCAAGCCTGTTCCTGGTGCTGACCTTGGTGCTGATCAAGAGAGGAGTGTGATAAATCGCTAGAGGTCGCTGCTGCATGGTCTACCATTGTTGACCTCCAGTGCAGTGATTCATATGCAAATCGTATTTTCTACCACTGTACTGTTTTAATTCACTGTGCAATTCGTCTGCGTGATTATATCAGTTTTCACCCCAATTTATGGTTGTCCCTTATGCTTGTCTACTCTGTTAACTCGGTGTACGGAGGGTCGGTGGTCTTCAAATCTCGCTAAATACTCCACAACGCGACCAATTTTACCGTGTCGCGCACCAAATACAAGCGGGCCGCCATGTTTGTTTACATGTTCGGTGATGTTGAATAGTAAAAGTAGCGTCTATTTCGTAGCAACATTCCCGAAAACGCCGCCGAAATTGCGGTTTCCTGTTTTGGTTTGATGTCTCATGTTTTTAGCTGAAATTTTGTTGTTACGATTATCGCTATTGTTAGAATTAATTAGTGTTAGAGTATGAAATAGTCGTTCCCTTGACTGCTAAACGTCCTGACGTCGGCGAAACGTCAGGACGAAACCTGGCCGATGGACCGTGTAGCAGTGGCCTCTAGCGATTTGTCTCCAAACTGCAGGGTCGCATTTACCGGTGGCTGAATGGCGTGACTGTCTGTAGTATAGGGCAGTTGCACACTGGCTTTTGTGATGAACCTTTGTACAAAATACAAAATTAAGTCACTCACAGCAACATTTCCTGTTATGTTTCGCGGTCCCATGTTTTTAGACGTTGTTTTGGTTATCGCTATGGTTAGAATTGAAGTTATGATTAGGGTTTAGATAGTAGAGTTGGAAATGTGCGTCCCATTGACTGCGAACGACGGTGAAACGTATTGACACTGTCCAGCACATGGACCGTGTAGCAGTGGCCTCTGGCGATTTGTCTCCAAACTGCAGGGTCACATTTACCTGTGGCTGACGTATTTTAGGTTGAAGAAATGACTTGAGCATTCAGATCATGGTACGTGTATACTAGTATCAAATGATAAATTCTTTATTTTTCTTTCACATTTTAGCAAGTCAATGAATTAAATTAAATTATTTGATAATAATTCCCGGTTAATGTACATCATAAAACATTTATCTTTTGTTGTTTTTGTGCCTTGATTCGAAACGGCAAAGCCGCTCTACTTTTCATGTAAACAACTGAAGTTATGGATGATTTTCCGATGGATCGGAGTCTTTGAGACAAGGATGTTCCTCTAGATAATCCTCGGAGTGGTAAGAACTGCCTTTACTGAGAAAACTAGCCGATTTATGTGATGAGGGGAGCCAAAAAAGTCAGTCTACCGGATAATATTATGACGAACATGGGGAGGGGGTAACATTGCTTATGGACGGCTTTCAGCACCAAGGACAGGAATAACTTCGGTTTCAATCTGGCCTTTTCTCCATTAGAACATCACGTCCGTACTTGTTTCTGCAATATACGAAGGAAATCATGGATAAAACCCAGCAGATTGAGCAGGCAGTTACGATTTTACCTTCCACTATCTGCTTGGTTTCCATTCATATGGTAATGAGCTGAGGTCAACACCGCAAAAGTCAATTCTACAAGCGATCAGCTGATATCAAGAATGCATGTACGTGTACGTGCAACTCGAGAAAGAAGAAAATTCGGCCAATAAAAAGACGATTAGTAGGGATAAAATGGGATACACATACATATACATATAAAGTAATAGTTGCATGTCTGCCAAATATTACTCTCCAAGCAGAGGTTTGGGTTATTTTGACGTGTTTTTAGGCTTTTTTTTATCAGGGTTTCTTTTTTACACTGTATTTTTTCACAATATTTCTTTTGGGGGGGGGGGCGATTGGGTGGTAAAAAAATTCCAGTGCATAAAAGAAATCCAGATGAAAAATAAACCTACAACACACCAAAAATAGCCCAAACCTCTGCTTGGAGAGTAGCCAAATATAGCTTGGAAAACGTATCGCTTACTAACGACCCCTACCGAATTCTGTACGATATGCACCAACCACAACGTGGCTGCCCCTCACCACACCTTGACCGGTGGACGAAAAGCGCGTTGAACGTTAAAGTCACATACTGATAACGTTATCTGCTTGGAGAAGTCTGTGCGAACAAGGAATATGTTGCCTAAATGGCTGTGACATATATTTTAATCCCTCTTCATTCAAATTTTCCAAGTATTAAAACTTACACTGCATATCTTACCCCAAAGCCACACACTTCCATTTCAAGGCTGATACACCCCCCCTCCTTCTCAATAATGTCCTTCCGATCGTTTGCAGACGCCATGACCTCCACTTGACCTTGGAAGCGCCTGTTTGCCTTCTAAGATGAAGGAAAACGATATGAAACACGACAGGCGAACACTGAGAACTTCCTGGCAACCTGGAATTTGTCTGTGTTAGGAGTCTGGTAACGTCTCAAGTTAATACTAGGCCATACTACAATCAAGGTTAACTAGATTTTTAACCTCCTTTATTACAATTCATCTGTGAAACATACAATGCAATTTCTGAGCGACGAAGCAAAAAATCCTGTGTTTTTCATTAGTTCAAAATTTGAAACTGTTTTTTTTTCTCACCGGAGGGTGCCTGAATCATTTGATTTTCAAAAATTGTATCCAGTTGTATAGCTTTAATCAACATTATTATACTTCCTAACCTTCACAAACACACTGATACTTCTAAGCTGTTTTTCACATCATTTCTTGTTGAAAATCTGGAACCTAAAATTCAGACGCACATATGTACAGACATTCAGACGCAATTTTTAAAGCGCTCGTCGATATGAAGCTATAGTATTAAAGCTTTTAGATATTTCAGCAATTCGCTGGATACGTAATTCTTGTAATTATTATTTTACGAAAGCGCCGACGGTTTTTAGTCTAGACTTTAGTCTTTGTCCACGTCTTTTCGTCATTTGTTAGAAAAACTCTACTAACTGTGCCCGCACACGTTGGTTTATTTGTTTTATCGGAGTTTGTTTTTGCCTGTTGCTTTCTTTGCATTTTTGGAAGTTGATCAGCTCCAACATTGAAACTACAAGAGCCTTGACTTCTCAAATCTAGAAGAAAATTAACACACATAGATATCCTCTTCGTTTGACCTGTGATTATCATTTTTGATCACAAAGCTGATATCTTTTGCCCCAGAAACGCGGTGAATGTTTTCCACACATGTACATCCGTTAAGATGTGAGGATGTACATGTACATGTATGTATGTAATTTATCTCTTATCAAGGCTTCTCTAGTTCAAGGTTATCGCATTATTTGTATTCCAGTCAAAGCAAAACAAGTTGACTAGTCCCGTAAATTCAAAAGTCCAATGCAATTTTAGGGCGGCAATACAAAAAATATTGTGGATCAGGATAAAAAAAATCTGTCTGATGTTGACATTAATTGCCATTTCTTAGCTCATCATCATTCAAAATAGGACAAAACAACAAGCTACATAAGGAGCTAGTCTCTTTATTTTAGGTACCAACCGTAAATAGTTAGAACCAGTCTACGGTACGAAATAAGCAATTGTTTTCCGTCTGCGACATCGCATTTTTCTCACGCAGCTATAGATATCAGTATGATACATTAAAAAGGAAGTTGACTTTGTAAATCCAGTTTTACTGCCCTGAAATCGCTTTGGATGCCTTTAATGCACCACTTTTCACTGACAGGCAAGAACACGTTTGAAGCGTAACAAAGTACTGTGAACTTTCAATGCCTGTGTTTTGACAGAACAGGTCGTCTATCTATAAACAGATGACAACACGGGTGAAAATTTTAACGATAATCTTTAAATCTCATACTATTAATTCTAATCTCTAAAACACAGACTTGAGGAAGGCCCGACATGTCTTCCTTCTGTCTAGACATGACAAGTCTTCTGAAGTTCCCCGACTCAAGCCCGAAGAAGTCCAGAGGAAAGACTTGCTGTAGACGGGATCCCGAGTTTCTTTCATTCCACTGGCTCGTTCTGCTGCTCAAGCTCTGACACTGTTTTAAGATAAGATTGACATTGAAGAACTTTCTGTATCTTACTTTGCAAAATTTGATGAATGCACAGAAATAAAGCATAGTTACAGACGTTTCAATGCGCGGCTATCCAGCGTTCTTCATCGATAAAAGAAAGAGTGGAATTGGAGGAATTCAGGAAGCAGTTGACATGTGTGTAATACCCGATTGAATTACATCATACAAATTCCTCTCCACAGTACCTCTCTCTTTTCTTTCTTTTCACTGGTGAAGATCGTTGGATAGCCACGCATCGAAACGTCTGTAACTATGCTTTATAATTTATTACACGTGTGTATTAATTAAAGGAATAGCTTTCGGAAATAGTAAATCTATGGTTTTCGGAAAAAGGTGCTGCAATGGGCAAAGCCAGATGCAACGTTGACCCATCCAACAAAAACTGTTTTATAATAAAAGCCTACTCTCCAAGCAGAGGTTGATGGGGGGGAAGATCGTTAGCTTTTCATATATGGCCGTTTTTTGTCGCTACCCCACTCAACTACTTATTGCCTATATTGGTGACATAAAAAGCTGACGATCTTTAGCCTCTACCAGGCTTGAGGGCGCGTTTGTGGGCCGGCAAACTGTAAACTGGATGGCTAAACTCCCTCGGCGTGCTATATCTCTCTATTTGGCCAATTTCTACTATTTCCAGCCGCGCCCTCAAGCCTGGTAGAGGCTAAACGATCTTCACCATCAACCTCTGCTTGGAGAGTAAAAAGCCGGGTTTCGTGCAGGCGCAGTACTTTCCACCGACGTACTGTTCATCGCATGACACCAGACATGTGTTAAGGACTCGGTGCGGTTGATTTAACAGACTTTGGCCCACAGACAGCACACAAGGGCAGAGTGGAGTTTAAATACGTCCGTGTCTGTCAAATCGCGGCGGATGGCAAACTGCCAATGTCCTCACAAAAAACTATCAAACCCACAGAGGGCGTTGAGAAGTCACGCGAACTGAAATGATCTCAAAACAATATTAAGCCCCGCCCACCTCCGTCAAAACCTAGACAAGCCAAACGGATATAAAAAGGCAAATATATAACGTACGTGAAGCTATCGTATCTCATTGGTCGAATTGCTAATTTCGAGGCTGTCATTGGTTGATCTGACAGTCAGGATGGGCCTATTGTAAAGGTTGACATCCATTATTTGATTGCGTCTCGTTTGACAGTGTTCAAGATCGTACGATCGAGTTGTGACTTTGTCTCTGACCTTTAAACCGGGTGTCAGGGGTAGAGGAACACCCCCAAAGTTCAACATAAGTGCTGACTTTAACAGAAATACCCTTTAAACATCCAATTGCCTGACTTGAACGTTGAAAAGTTCTTGCCCATCGCTTGAGGTGTTAGAACTGTCATATCATCACGGTGGTGAGCTAATTTTACGTGCCCGCGAAAATAAAATAAATCTGCTAAACTTTTAATTGATCCAATAATAATAATAAGACCTTTATAGTACATTTTTGTAGCCTCTGTCAGGCTTCAGAAGCGGCTGGGAAGAGTAGAATTTGACCAGACTTGAACATACCAGGACTAGCAGGAGAGGTGGTCCACTAAAGAGTACAGCTTGCAGCTCCGGAGACTGTCCCGGCTTATTATCTATTTGGCCAATTTCTACTCTTTTCAGCTGCTTCTGAAGCCTGGTAGAGGCTATATTTTTGCCCCACTGGGCTAAGCACATGTCACACGTTTACAAACATACACAGATATCTAATATACACTAATATGGCTTCCTCTCGCTTCTTGGTGATGAAATTAATGGTAATTAAATCAATTGAAGAAGAGCTTAACAAAAAGATCTCGTCTTCACATAAGAGACATATATCCGTTGTGAGACATCAGTTTCAAATTGGCTAGCCAATGACGTTGCAAGTCCTTGAGCTAACCTGAACACCTGCTGTTGATTCAAATGTCTTAAAGAAAGATGCGGCAGACGTGGCAAAGGAGCAAGACAAGAGCGAGACAAGGACTAAGAATAGATTTTAGTATGACTTGAGTTGGTAGACTTCAAGCCTCGAAGACTGCCAAGGCCAAATACCTACTAAGAAAGAATTCAGGAGAAGTGTAGAACCGCGTTTCCTTGATCTTGGGGTGGCAATATTTTTGTTCGGGTGTGACCAGGGGTGCCAAAGAATTCATCAGAATTTTACGGAATTCATACGATCCTTACTAGAAACATACGAAGTTTACGGAATACATACAATCTATTACGCGGAAACATACGAAGTTTGCGGAATACATACGATCCTTACTAATTTAGGGTCATTTAGGGTATATTTGGTGACTTGCCGCCGCCATCACCGGCTCCACCGATTCCCAGCCTCGCCCTGCAATTTGGTCCAGAATACAGGCTACTATGTCGTGAAAGAAGTTCGCATAAGTGCAGTTTGGGGTTTAGCAGGGCAGGATAAGCCCTAAAATTCTTTGAAACCAAGATATTGTAGAGAGGAACATCGCTATAATAGTCCGACATCTTGAATTTGAAAGTTTAAACCGCAATTTTCGACTTGTTGAAATTTACAGTGTCATATTATTTCTAACGTTGTATCTCACGAATACATTTTCACAAAAAAAGATTATTTTACGTTGACTTTAAAACGTTAAACAACCTTTGTCATCTTGAACTGAACTTGACTTTTCACAAAAGCACACTTGAAGCAGCATGACACCACCACTAGTGTCACAATGAGTTATCTAAACTGTACGTGACGTGTGACCAAACCCCAGCCAATGATTATATAGCACGCCGAAGCGCCAACCACACAATCCTAAAAGTAAATATTGAAAATCACGCTTCACTCCCTCCCAGTCAGGCTATTTTCCCAACCCGGCGAAGCAAAGTTTAGTCCGAAGAAAAGCCTTGGAGCAACTTGAGCGTGAAATCCGCTGGAAGTCGTAATCTTAGCTCCGGTTTGTGGTATGTTTGTGCAAGGTTTATAAAAAGTTCAGGAGGTCGGCTTCACCCCCTGTAACCTGTGTTGGACGGGTCCATTGTCCCACGTGCTTGGATGTAACCTGATCTGTTTCCCGGGTTTGGAGAGGAGAACCTCAGCGGGACGTACCGACACGGCAAGCCGCCCGCCGCCCGTCTCTGCACCGTACGGCCCCCAGGGAAAGTGTCGGCGCGTAGAAAGGTGATTCAGAGGTGAAGAAGATATACTCCACACGCTAGGTGGGAGAGAGAGGAGGAGACACCCCTGAGAGCGTGTTGCACAGTTCTTGCTGCTGAAGTTTGGGAAGTCGGAGAGAGGAGAGGGTAGAGCCGCTATGGTGTGTTTGTTTGCCGGCGAACAAGGCCGGCTTGTCTGGCTGGTCGCGCTGGTAGCGGTCATCGCGACGCCGCCGGGCCACGGTCAAGAGATTATCGGAGGTGAGTGCGACTTGCGCCGAGGGGTGGGGTGGGGGCTGTACGGAGGAATCTACCTCCATAACCGCTCGAGACTTGTCCATACGCACCGCTTTTCAGTTTTGTACTCGCACTTGAGAGTTATCTCTTCGTATGCGTGCACGAATAGAGAGCGAGTTAGATGGCGAACCAACCAAGGATGGGGTCAGACGAAAATTTGGCCAGGGATTTTTAGCTCAGACGGATTTAGGAAGGCTGCATATAGCGGCACTCCGTGCACGGCGGTCGCTCCTCTTTGAGTTATCAGACATTTTGGAGGTTTGCCGCAGAATTTCTCTCGACACACACACGCCTGTAGTGTTGTTATGCCAGCAAGCACGCTTGGACTTGTACTTGTGGGTTAGAGACGTCAGTAATGACTGCTAACAATAATACATCTTCTTGGAAACTTTCCCGGGGGCTTGTCCAAATAAAAAAATCACAACCGACCAGCCGCCGGAATCTCCAATCATCATGGCTTCAGCTAAGTAAACTGAACGGTTATGGGTTTGATTCCCACTAGCTGTACACGTACTTTAAACCCAAGTGGTGATACCTTGCAAGGAATGCAACTTTGTAGTCATGAAACACAGCCTTGCAAAAGTTTATTTCTTCCTTTTTGAAGGATGAACAAGTTTTTACTCGGTTGCTCACTCTAGCAGGCATAGTCCCTAATTTAGTTTGGCATCCACTATTTACATAGGCATTCAAAGAAATTCAAAAGAGGGCCAAGCAAAGCTGCATCTGTGTGATTGAAATGTCTATCCATTGTGGGAGAGGACACAGCATATGCTGGTTGTTGAGGGAGAATTGTTATGAAAACCAAAGTGTATTCCAAGGTTTCAGGCGATTTCGGGGTTTTAGACCAATTAGTCAGAAAGCTGTCAGGCTTCGCTTACATTCTTTGTTTGGTAGGCAAAACCGTTCAACCAATCATAGCATGTTTTCACAATCACAGACAGACTAATTATATGGGACCTTCTCCTTCTTTTAGTCCAGATTTTCTTGCTTTCTTAAATTTGGGATGTTTTGAATGAAAATCCGAGTGAAAGTTTGCACATTATGAAGAAATTCGCCTCCTGGGGTTCGTAATTCATTAGCAAGTGTTACATATCTTGTTATCAATTGTTTGTGTGGATTTGATAAGGCCTGGTAAGCAGGTTTGTGATAGATAGCAGCTTTTCTATAATCAGTGTCCATTCTAACACAGATGAGGTCTTTATCATGGAGCTAACTAAATCTCCAGAGAAGGGGGTTTCCATACATTTTCCGTAAGGCGAAAGTAAGCTTATTCGTATTGAAACTTGTCTATGTTATTCGTAGCTCCCCAAATAACGGTGTGTGTAATCTAGCATAAAACATATCTCGGACCCCCCCATGCAGGCCCCCAGATATAGGGAGGGGGCGAGATGAGACCATGATTCGCTGTACTTGGAATTTATGAAAACTACATATGGACATCATTAGCTATTTCCTTGTACTGTGAAGTACGCGTATCCAGTCACTATAGTTATCTCCAAGCAGATGTTGTGTAGGAAATTGTAAATGTTTGCTGACCAGCATCTCACTAGCTGTTTGACTCTCAGAAAAGCTGACTGGTCAAATGATCTCTCACTCACCCGAGATCTGCTTGGAGATAAGTCTACGGTTTCATTTCTTGATCACGTTTTTTGCAACTCCAGAGATCACAGAACTGTCCGAAGCATTTTTGTGTGTGGCCACTTTCATCTGTCCAGCGGTGTGAACTGGACCGTAGAAATAGTTCACTGGCCACTTTGATGTCAGTGGTCACTGGCTTGGATGACCCAAAAGTAGAGTCTCACATGATACTAGGCAGAAGCAAGCACTTTGCAAAGAGCTCTCTGTTTTCCAGAGCTAATTCTCCATGGGAAAACAAGAGATAACGATCGATCGCCAGCGACTATAGGTTGGGAACAAGTATGAGTATGGCTTTTCTTGTCTACCACAGAGAAAAAACAAGGCGTATAACTCTTAAAAGAAGATTCTAATGTTTCAACTATGTTATGTCTGTTGTTTAGCAGTGGGGGATTCCTAAAGCACAAGCAGACAGTTTTGTAAAGCATCTACCATGAAGGTATTCCATTGAGAGAAAAGCCTGCTGGCTCTATACAGCGTCATGTACACAAACATGCAACAGTGCACGCTAAGTATTTCCTGGTTACCACATCCCCCCCCCTGCAGTTTGGTTCTCGGCATTCTTGTTTTGGGCAGACTGCTGAAAAGTAAATACAGGCCAAATTAGATGTTGTAACAATAGGATAATGAGGGGGATTTGGTTGGCTATTGTTCTCTTCTGGTTGAAAGAAGCAGAGGATTTGGAACAAACCAATAAGATAATAGGGGGTACTAGTAATCTTGAACAAAAAAGTAGACTAGCAAAAGTAGCATGTCTGTAAAAATAATTGTGGAAAAAATGGTAGAAAAACTGGTATTGAAGTAGTAGACTAGTAGACTTAGTCTCTTTCCGTATCTTTACACACCATTTTTTGTCAATCAAAGATGACGGATTTTTGAGTGACAGAATTCCATCAAAATTTCAAATGATGGAAAGATGGATACTGGATAGAAAACCGGTCATGACCAGTTAGAACTAAGACAACTTAATTTGCTTTCTGTTGGTCGTCTGTGATACCACAATTGGATTGGTCGGCATTCACATAGGAATACCCAATTAAGAAGTTTGAAATAGTTTGTTAGGTGCTTGTTATAACTAGTTAAAGACCTTCTGTCTAAGTTGCTAAAGGGAGCTAAGGGGTTTGAGCAATGTCTTTTTTAAATTTTATGTCAACACTTTTATTTCAAATACCTCCATTTTCATGGAGGTAAAATGTACATGTATAAAGACACAAATAAATAGCATGCTTTTTTGCACTGCAGCCACCAAAGATCTGCTTGGAGATTGAAAAGGGACACTGTCACTGTAGTCTAATGAGTTACTAATAGCTGAGATGTGCTGTTTGTGCCTGCATACTGCTTTGTACTTGATATTTGCCATCTGTTAACATGTCTTCCAATCAGGGCATGGAGCAAACACTGGGGAGAAAAGGCCTGCCGCTAGCCTAGCAACAAGTACAGATACACAAAAATGCAGACATGTGAAGATGCAGGGGGAAAATGCAGTCTGAGATATCTGCAGTGGTGTCTGCTGATTGAGGCTATCAGCTTATAATAATAAGACATACACCAGCCTGTATGCCACACACGAAGAATGGGAAATAGCCTTACTTGATGGCTGGGAGCTAGTCTAGATCCATTGTTAGTATGGTAGTTTGTTTCGCAATGGCGGTAAATTTCGTACAGGCATAACACATCAGTTTTATAATATAATCTATGTAAGACCAGACTGTAAGGTTTGAACCACTCACACCAGGAAGGACTTCTAGTCCTACCTTTTTGGACAAGTGTGGTACGATCTTAAATTGATGTGCTCAAGGTGTGGCTCTCCTCAAACACGGGACCTCCAGCTCTACGTCCCAACCAAGAGGATGCCCCAAACCGAAGCTAGGTAATCATTTTCACAAGTCAATTGAGGAAATACATGTAGGTGTATAAAGTGCCTTTTTCTAAAAGGTATATCGTTGAGGCCTGCTGAAGGTTCGAACCCAGAACCTTTAGATTCTATTAAAACCAACAATCCAAGACAGGCTTACCACCTTGAGGTTACTAAAAGTGCAGGTTGGAATGGCGAGATCACAATGTTCATCCCAGACTTGTCTGCTTCTCATTCTGTTGATGGGATAGCTGTCAGAAAAGACATATTAGAGGACATTTACGATGTCCCCATCCAACCTCTGCTTGGAGAATAGCCAAGGTTTCTTCAGATATTGTCAGTGTGCCATGGTTGCGGGAGGGGGGTGTATAGATGGCAATGATTTCCAGTTGTTTTGTAAAACGTCGTCTGACACTTGTTATGTCCTGTCGGGAAAAGGGGAAATCCCTGGCGTAAACTTTGGAAATCCTGTTATTGTATTAGTCATCGATTTAGGTAAATGATAGATAGACGGGAAATTAATTGATAAGAGTGTCTAACAAGCTGTCTACAGAGGCATTTGCCTTGTAAAATATTCTGAGAATGAGTTTTGCCAAAACTTGCCTCAAAAAGTTCAAAATTACCATGGGAATGTTAAATTACAAGATTTTTTATATCTCTTCTATTCCCTTTAGAAAGAAAAATATCAAGATGTTCCCCCCTAACCCATTTTTATTGGAATGGCCCCAAGTATATATTCCCCAAACAACAAGAAAGAAAATAGCCAAGTGACCCGTATAATCTGGTAACATACATGTAATGAATTTGTAGCCCCGTTGAACCACGTTGTATCCTTTGTGTGAAGTTCTGTTTACAAACTGAGCCATTGTGTGTCGCCGCGTCCTTGGCCTGAGCAGATGTTTTGGCTGTGAACTCACGACAATATCTAACCCGCTTCCCAACTGTTCTCAAGAGAAAATTTAACATTCTAGCGACATGTCCCAAAGCTTTGTTACTCATGAAGCATGAAATCTCTATTTATGTCTGTGTCAACCGCTTTTGCGAAGACATTAGTCAGGAAACTGGAAAGCGCTGGTTTTGGTTGGTATTCGTGCATGTTTACATGTGTCTGAATCTGATCATCACCGAAGTTTTGGTATCTCGATATCTAACCTTCAAACTGTTTCCCTTTCCTGAAAGGCAAATCTAAATAAATGCTCTGGTTGCAGATTCAAAGGGAATTTAGAAGAAAAGCACTTTGACTGACATACTAGATTGTCCAAATATTTCGACATGTAAAAAGTTTTACTTTATGTACAGGATTATATACTTTCTGAAGCTTCATTTCTTAGCACATTTTGGTTATCATTTCATACTTGAATCATTTGAAATGGCCAAAAATCAGCTGATGACACAAAACAAGCAACCATTTTTCGTCAGCAACATTGCATTTTTGCCTCAGTGTGCTATAGCTATTGCATACGGTTAATTCAAC